GGGGAGAGCCCGAAGTCAGAGCACAGTCGCTGGGGGTCTGGTCACGGGCGGCACAAGTGGCAGGGGGAGCTGCAGAGCGCACATTCGAGGTCCGCCGTGGTGGCCATGCGTAGGACCAGCGAGCGGCGGAGGTCCTGCGGAAGGGCCACCGATGTCCGGCTCAGCACATCCGCCAGGAGGGCATCCAGGTCGTCCGGGGCGAAGGCCACTGGCAGATCGTCCGCCAGGGCGGCGTTCATCCCGTCGGCCTTCTGGCCGAGGGCCACGAGGGTCAGATCCTCGGGCAGGTGCTCGGGGCGCGTCATGCTGGCAGCCGGTGGCGGGAGTGCGCGGGAGGGGGGAGCGCGGCCGGGCAGGAGTCGAAGGTGAGGGGCGCCGGAGTCGGAAGGGCGGGGAACTTGCGCGGGAGCGGGCGAGCAGCGGAGCTCAGGCGAAAGGCGTCAGCAGGGGGCGGGGATTGTGCGGCTATGGGGCTGCACCCTCCCCCCCGTCCCAGGGCGCGGCGGTCGCCCTTCGATCGACCAGGCACCGGGGGGCGGGGGGGGGGGCGATTGTGGGCCAAGTGACAGCGGACGCCGGCGCGTCGGCCCCGGGGCAGCACCCGCAATTAAGCGCGGCCCCGGCGGCGGCGCCTCGTGATTGGCGCGCCGCGCCCCGGTGTGGGCCAAGTCGCGCGCCGGACTTGCTGCGCCGGGGCCCCTGCTCCTGGCCCTCGCCCGGCCCCTGCGGTGCCCGGCTCCCGACGCCCGGCCCTCCCCTGTGCGCTGGTGCCTTGGCTGTGCTCGGCCCGAGGGGGGCGGCAGAGAAGAAGAGGAGGAGGAGGGGAGATGGTGGTGTATTCTCCCCCGGGCATGGGCCCCAGCAGGAGGAGGAGGAGGGGGGGAGGGGGCCGGGGGATGGGGCGAGCGCACCCCCTGGCCGCCGGGCCGAGCCGGGTGCCGCCCGGCGGCCGCCCTACTGGGGGCCGGCCCCGGCCTGGAGCCAGCTGCCCAGCACCAGCTCATACATTTGGTCTTTGGCCCGGGTGATTCGGCCGTCGGCGATGTGCTCGTAGAAGGTGACCGCCTCGGCGCGCGCGGCGAAGTTCACGCGCCAGGCGCCGGCGCGCGCGGCCACGCGGAAGGCCTCCTCGACCACCAGCCGGCCGAAGCCGCCCTTGCGGCTGGCCGCGCAGACCACCACATCCTCGAGCCGGGCCACGCGGCTGCCGCCACGCGACAGCTTGTCCTCGATCACCACCTTGGCCGTGGCCACCAGCCGGCCGTCGGCCAGCAGGACTAGCGTGCAGGAGGACTGCTGTGTGCGCTGGCGGCGGAGGATGACTTTGCGCAGGTATAAGGGGGCGAGGCCGGCGGTCAGCAACTGCCGGTGCGGGGCCCGCACGGGCCTGGGCCTGGGCCGGCGCATCGGGATGTCAGGACGCACGCGAAAAGGCCTCCCTCGTCAGGGGCGTCACCGTGGTCAGCTGGCCGAGGAGGTGCAGGTAGCCTGTCCTCCGGGGCGCGCACGGGCCCGCCGGCGGTGCGTCCCGGAGAGGCGGGCGGCGCGGAGCGAGTGTCAGCAACCGGCGGCAGGGCCCTCACACGGGCGGCATCCGGCCCGAGCACGCACCCTCAAAATCGTCGTCCTCAATGAACCGGAGCTCCAGGCCCCGCTCGGCGCGCAGGTGGGCCACATACGCCGGGTCCAGCGCGAAGACGGGATCCTCGAGGGCGGTCATGTCTGGTGGTATGAAAGGATGCGGGGCGAAGGTTGGGGCGGGTGGCGGCGAGGGAGAAACGCGGCGCCGGCGAATGGCGGTACGGCAGGGTGTTGAAATGTGCGAGGGGGCGGG